GTGTGTGTGTGTGTGTGTGTGTGTGTGTGTGTGTGTGTTTATATCATTAAGTAAAATGCAGTTATAATATCTGCAATTTTCTTAACAAACAAATTCTTTGATAAATTAAAAAAAAGCTAATCCACCGGTCTTGGATGAGATAAGAATTTTATTTTATTTTAAATTTATTTTGAGAGAAAAAAATGTTAATTTTAAGTTGAAAAAAAAAATACATAAATAGCAATTTATTTTAAAATATTACAAAAAATACATATAAATATTTATTGACTTTATAGAACAGCAATCGATGGATTCAAAAAAAGTATTTTTAATGAGATGCATTGCAATAAATAAAATTCATTAATAAAGCATGAAAAATAATTTTATTGTTTTTTGTCGAATTTAATTCAAATTTTCGGAAAATAGAATTAAATTTATTCTTTTATTTTTTTTTGACTTCTGGAATCACGACTGAAAATAGCGCGTGGACGTTAGGGCTGCTGCTGTGGATTAAAAAGTCCTTGCTCCAGCCTGGAAAAATGAAATGAAAATAAAAAAAAATAATGTTTACATGGAAATTAATTTTAATTTACATAACCGTTATAATTTTTACATTTTATAACTTTTATATTAAAATTAAGATTATATCCATCCTAAAATAAATTTAAAAAGATGAACTAAACATGTTGTGATGAATAGGGCTGTCAAAACGGCTCGTTGTTCGTGAACAGCTTGTGTTCGGCTCGTTTGTTAAGTTAACGCGCCGACATGAATAAATATTTGTTCGTTCGTGTTTGGCTCGTTTTGACTCGAAATACTACTAATTATATATATATATATATCTTTGATGAGTAGTATTTTAAAAAAAATTAATTGACTACAAGGCTACAGATTTATAATCAATTAAAAGTATTAATGAAAAAAACAGAATAAAAATTATTAAATTCGATAAATCTTACCCAAATTTTTAACATATTATGGTTACGTGATTGGGGTTGCCAAATCGACTCTTTGTCCGTGAATGGCTCGTGTTCAGCTCGCTAATCAAACGAGCCGAACACGAACACACTTGTTGAGCTGGAAATATAAAAGCTTAGCCTAGGCGCGCTCATATTTGGCTCGTTCACACCCCTAGTGATGAAAGTTTTATCCGAATGACTAAAAAAATAGTTTAATCATACTGTTAAAATACATTAAACAGTTTTTTAATTCATTTGAATTTAAATTTAATCAAGCAATAATTTTAAATTTAACTCTTGATCAAATTTATAGGAAATTTTATTTTTTGATGAAATTGTTTTAATGATGACTAGACTAAAAAAATTAATAATTAAAATATAATTCGAGTCCAAGCTTTTATAGAGAATGACTCCTTCAACTCTTCCATAAACTTAGTATAATATAGCTGGCATTTGAACATGCCTAAATCAGCAACGTGGACGGCCAGAGTCTTATTATCCACGTGGGAATCGCTAAGTCGCGCTGAATGATTTGGCGCGGAAAATTACACTGGAGAAGTCGGTTCAGTTTTTTGACTTCGTTTAGTTGTGGCCATAAATTTTGGAAAATTTATCAAACTTTATTATGTGGTTGAATGTAATACGGAACAAAAATAAATTAATTTTCACAAAGACATACAATATAATTGATGCGTGTCAAAAAATTCACGGCGATAGAGTGATGGATTATCATTTTAGGGTTGCACGAGATTTCAGTACATGCTCGGATACAAGAATAGAACTAGTAGTGATATCAGAAGTTCCTACGTTGAAAGCCCGTAAAGGGAAAAAATTACTGGATCTAGCCGAGTTGAAGAAATCTAATATAAACTTTATATTAAATGTACAGTTCCTCATCCCACAGTCTGGAAAGAGCTAAACACTTTTCTAAATTACAACGGCGGTGCACGAATAAATTTATTGTAAGAGGTGGGTGTCGGTCGATATTGATCGATGAAGACCGGTGGGTGGTGGTCGACGGTGATTGATGGCGGTTGACGGTGGTTGATGGTAAATGGAGTGATGCTGGACTTCAACTCATAAAAAAATTTAAGCTCTTATTCGGGCTTCAAGCTCTTCTCCCTCTCATGAGAGAGGTGAGACTCCGGGTGCAATTAATGCAAAAATATAAATTACTTTAACCAACGACTTAGATGACTTCCCTCATTAGACGTCATTTGATGGACGTTTGAGAGTTTTAACGATGTTTGAATTGAGCGAGTTTGGACTCATTGAATTTGTCTCTTTAAGTGCTCGATTTGACTATGAACTCATCAGAATCGACATCTTCCAAAAAAATTTCAAACGTGGTTTAATCATTTGATAGGGAATTGATTTTGTTCAGGTTGGATCAGTCTCGTCGAGCTGAACAGTTTGATTATAACTTTGTTGGAATTTGAGTTCTAGATAATTTTTTATTGATGTTTGAATTTTCTTACTCAAAAGGTTTCCCCAAGTTCACGCCATACCCCAAGATTCGTGTCGAATGATGAGGAATCTGTTGATGGCATATCAATAACTAAGAAAAAAATTTCATGGCTGCCAATAAAGTAATTTGAGATATTGAACACAAATTATAAAATGCCACTCTTAACTATTATTAATAAATTATTATTTTCTCCATAAAAATAACCAACACACACAATCAGAGAGAACTTCAAGATCCAAAAAAATTAGAGTTTTGCTCGGCGACTAACACCAACAACCCCTAGTAGGAACCACAATTGTCGAACCAAACATCACCTGACTTTATCACCCAATCTCAATTGGCTAATTTCAATAGTATTATTCATGTCGTACAACTATAAATATTTGATTAACATTGCTTTATTCTTATAATAGCCTTGACCACAATCATACCATTATAATTATTTTTATGATCGTAATCGAGCTATCACTATTTTATCATGCTTCACCGACTATTATTATCAGATTATATCACTCATTTATCACCATTATGAGCCTTAGGGTTTGTTTAGGGCAGCTTGTGCATTTCAAGATAAGCTACTAGCTTATCTTGAAATGCGGCCCGCGGGTCGAACCCACGGTTTTCATTTAGTGTAAAAAACAAAAATACGGCAGACAGTTTTTTCAAAAAAACACAAAACAAATGGTTAGACGGTGTTTTCAAAAACACCGCCGCACTTATAAGCTGCCCCAAACGAGCCCATAGTCACCATAACCAAACAAATGCTCCCAAATTTTATATTATCATTCATTTGCAATTATGAGAAAAAAAAAACTCTTGTAATCTCGTATATACTCTTAATTATCTTAATTATGAAAGGTTAATTATTCCTTTAGTGATTACAATGTTGTAGTAGATATCAACATAATCATGATTACCTTACATGAGACAACGATTCGTGAACATACAAATACATTACTCCCATCAAAATTTAAACCCACAATCAAACTCACAACAAACAAAAATTTAAAAGTTAGCATCCAAATTTCTTCCAAAAAATAAATGAAAATAAACATTTTTGGCGTATAATCCATGTTACAATTACAAAATAATCATATGCTATCCATCACCTAAACCGAACAACCGCGCACCTGAAAATAACCTACTTCCTCAAATCCGCCGTGAACGGCACATTCGCTCTCGGCAACCACCTCGCGCCGTCAATAAACCGCCGCACAGTAAAGTACCGCGCCACCGCCGCATCTCTAATCACATGATATCCCCCCCACCGAACCCTCCCTCCCAGACCCGCACCCGGCCCATAATTCATATACTCCCCATAGAACAACGTATCCAACGCAAAATCTCCAGCCCACTCCAGCCAACCCGCCGGCTGAACGCCCGAGCCCAAATACGACTGCATGAACACCGTTCTCGAGAAAGCCTTCCATGGCCGACCCAAATACGTCGGCACGGTGGCGTACACGAAGCTATTATGAATCGAGAAGCCTGTATTCTGGCTGCGATCCTTTCTTCCTTGCGCCGTAATGGTGGCCTTTTGGAAAGGCAGCGGCTTTCTCGTGAAGATCTTGCAGTTCTGGAAGACTGCCTGGCCGTTGCCGAAGATGAAGTCGATGGTCCCGTGGATGTGGCATTCGCGGTAGAATTGTCGCAGGGAATGCGCGTATAGCGTGTCCTGAAATCCTTCGATGCTGCATCGAAAGAACGCGGAGCGGTCGGAGTCAACCCGGAGAGCCACTGCTTGGCGGTTTTGTGGGCCCGCGGTGTTCCGGAATGTTATGTCTCTCGCTATGAAACCCTGACCGGAAACGGCTAGGAACCAATGATTGTATTAGTAGGGCTGTTAAAACTGCTATTTTTCGAGAATAATTTATGTTCGGCTCGTTAGCTAAGTTAATGAGTCGAATATGAATCAATTATATGTCCGTTTGTGTTTGACTTATGTAAGCTTGAAATACTAATTATCAATTATATATATATATATATATATATAATTATTGATGAGTTCTATTTTAAAAAAATTAATTGACTCTAAGGCTATAAAAATTTATAATCAATATAAAATATTAATTAAAAAAATAAAATATAAATTATTAAATTAGATTTAATCAAGAATTTTTAAATATTATCCCAATTCTTAATATGTTAGGGCTAAGTGATGAGGTTCTCAAAACAATTCTTTGTTAATGAACTGCTCGTGTTCGGCTTGTTAAGCAAACGAGCCGAACACGAGCACACTTTCTGAGCTAGAAATATAAAAGAGCCGAACACCTAGACTCGCTCGTGTTCGAGTCGTTTGCACTCCCATGTATTAGGTTGGTTTTATTTTCAAATAAATATAAATATTGAAGATTTAAATACGCAAAACTTTTTGTCATGCATGCAGTCTTACCAAAAGTAGCAGTCCGGAAGGTGGTCCAGCCCTGCATGAAATTCCTACTCCCGGTAATAACAGTAACTCCCATTCCTTCCCCTACCAGCATGATATTACTCTTCTTCCTCTTTAGCTCAACATTCTCCTTGTAAACCCCTCTCTTCACAAAGATCACATACCTCCTCAAGCTATGACTCGGCGCATCCTCCACCGCTTCCCCGACCGTCCGAAACCTCCCGGTTCCATCCGCCGCCACCACCGCATCCACCAGCATTTCCCTCTCATTCGCGCTCACCATCTCCATCTCCTCCTCCGTCATCCACGAAGGTAATTGATCATCACCATGATCATCCTCCAACTCTGTCTCATTTCTCCTCGGAACTATGCTCCTCAACCTTTTGTACATCTCAAGCAAGTTGCTTACGAGTTGGGTGACTTCGTTGAGGCCACCACGCACGTAATGCATTAAACGGCCGTCGGTTTTTTCGAAACCTTCGAGGCATGTGTCTTGGTTGCTCAGCGCGGCGCTTAGCCACGAGAGGAGATTGGCTTCGTGTTGGGTGTTTTCGAGCCATTCAATTTCGGCGAGGGATTGGCTGATTTGGTGGACGGATAAGTCAAGGAGTTCTTTGCAGTCTTCGAGGGCGGCGCGCTCGCGGAGGGTTGTGGAGAGCGGGGAGAGGTTCGAGATGGTGTGGATGGAGCTGAGGGCTTGGTTGATGGCGTCGCGTGCGGCAAGGTGGAGGATTTGGGTTGGGTTGGGGTGTTGGGAGGTGCACGAGTTGTAGTCGGAGGTGTTGAGGCACGAGAAGTGGAAGAGGGATTGGGAATGAAGGGGGAGGGAGAGTAGGAGGAGATGGAGGAGGAAGATGGCGAGGGGGGTGGGGGGTGAGGCCATGGGAGGTGGATTTGTATCTTGTAGTTAGTTTAGTAAGGGGGCGGTGTGGTGTGTATGATTTAAAAGAGATGGAGTATTGGTTGAAGAGTGCATTTCTTGAGTTTCTTTATGCTTTGCTCCATGCATGGCTAAAGTTTTATTTTTTATGAGATTCAGTGAAGGAGGGGGGATAAAAGTGGGGAAGAGAGATTGTGGGGTGGGATACGTATTCTTTTATGCTTGCTTAATGGGGTTAGCTTTGTAGATTTTCTTTGGGATGTACGAGACAAAATTGAAGCGCAATGTTTTTCAATACTTTTCTTACTATATTCGGCAAAGGCAGCTATAAAGGAAAAAAATTGAACTAAATTATATAACGGTAAGGAGGGAAAATTTACGTGCATTAAGTACGATTAAGGAGAGTTAATTTTAGAGCAGGAGCGTACATCAAGTTTTTCAAAAGAGATTATAACGTTAAGAATAAAATAATTATACAGATGTATATGTATTCAAATAAATATTTAATGTAATAACAACCACAATTAATAAAAGTATAAAATAAAATATATATTTAAATGTTTCATATTTAAGAATGGTGCATTCAATTATAAAATATAGTTGTTTGATTAATCAAATATATGACTAAGGGTTAATTGTGCGTTTTATATTTAAATAATAATTAATTATTACGTTGAGTAAATATTAAAATATTACATCAAAACAATTAAAAATTTTTATAATAATAAAATGCATCTCATAATTTAATACTAATTTTTTCTTAATTTGTATAATTTTATAGATACAATTTTTAACTTAAAAAATTATTTAATATAATTCACTCAAAATATTATTTATTTAAAAATATTATTCAATATCACTTTGTATTAGCTTAGCCGAATGAATAGGTAGATGATTTAAATAGTATTTAAAAGATTACTCACATTTTAATGACATTGGGTCAATCATTCCGAGATTTTCTTAAGCTTTAAGAGAAAGAAAATTAAAGAGAAGATTAAGTCATCAAGACTTAATTTGAATCTTCTAGACCACAAGAATTTACAAATCCTAAGAAGGCAAATAAATGGTTTGGTTAAATCCATCTTCAAGATCTATCCAAGACTTTACCTCGGGATTTGCCCAAGGCGAGACTAAGATAAAATAAACCGAGGGAATGACTCCTTTCGGAATCGTCTCAACAGCTTCCTTAGTTGAAGTCGAAACATCAAGAGGTGTAGTGGTAAAGAGCTTCTTAATCCACCGCCTCTTGGTCAAGATGGGATATACCCTGATTAGATAAACAAAGAGGTCTAACCAGTAACATCAAATATTGAGGCATGCCGATAAGTTATGAACTATTTACATAAGCAAAGTTCTTTAACCAATGATACATGACACTGGAAAAGGTGATGAGAATCATCCAACTAAATAAAGATAATAACGAGGTTGGGTACATTAGGTAATACAACCCGTGATGATGCTCTTTTCCATGGAACCAACTAGAAAGTCGATGAGATTCTTATCAAAACTATAACGTCAGTAGGCCGCGAGGGCCAAAGTTGGGAGTTGTAAGAGTTGTGGACCACGTAGACAATAAGTGGTTAAGTAGGTCATAGAAATGAGTTATAATGACATCTGTAGGTCATGGTGGCCGGATTCAAGAGTTGTACATATGTGAGGTGCGTTGCTACCCTATCTTCGAGATGCACTGTTGCACCATTCTTGGGGTGAGTTGTTACATTGTCTTTAGGGTTGGCCCAATGTTCAGGATGATGCGCCACTTCGCAAGCTGCATCATGACTCCACGACTTCAGTTGTTTCTTCACACGATGGAGTGGGCGACGACCGTGAGTGCTGGTCAACAAGTGTAGGAGTAGGAGGAAACTGCAACTTCTTCTTACCTCAAGATAGAGATAGGGCTCTATTTATAGAGTTCCCTTGATCAAACAGTATTTGATGGACAATTATGTGCCTAAACGATATCAAAGTTGAGAGATCTTGGGCTCGTTGTATTAGTCTCGTCGAGACACTTGATTCGTAAATGAGTTTACCCACTTCATCATTCATTCAAAAGCTTTTAAGAAGTGGCTTAATGACTTGATCTGAGCTTGATTTGACTCAGATTGGCTCGATTTTGTTATTATTGGATTTGTCTCGTCGAGCCGGTTAGTTTGACTATAAGTTTGCTAAAATTAAAGTTTTGGATGACTCTTAATCAAATTTTGAATATTTTTTTTTCTCAAAAGATTATCTTGAGACCCACGCCATGTCTCGAGATTCATGTCTGATAATGAGAATAATTTGATGACGTATTAATAACCTTGAGGTTTTGTATACAAATTAATTTATGCATATAAGTTTTCAAGAAGAGATGCATTGTTAACATCTTATTGGAGTGATGCATGTTATTTGATGATAGCTAAGGAAAAGAGGCATGATTGTCACCATCATGGCTATCGGAGTAAAAGTTTTGGGATAGTCAATCATTTCCTTTGTGTAAATTCTTTGGCCACAAAGTGAGACTTGTGTACTTTAATGGTTTCAACAACTCCATTCTTGATTTTTAAGACCCTTATGCATTCAAGTAGCTCCATTTTAAAAGATACATAATTTGATTAGACTCCAATTATTAATTTTACCTATCATTGCCTATTTCCATTATAGAACTTCAATGGCTTGTGAGAAGTTGGTTGCCTCAACTTTGGTCTGAAGATGGGTGAGATAACTTTTGCGGCTAATGGATGGTCATTTGTAAGAATCAACATTTTACAAATGATGGTCCATGCCTTTTCACAAGATATGATTGAATGCAAGTGATTGCTAAGGCAGTGTCTCAAATGTAATCATGTAACTATGTTGGCTAGCATTGAATACATGACATGATTGCATAATTCGGGTTGATGTTGGACATAATGCACTACATCAGTTGGGTGGCTAACTTGAATTATTGAATTCATATTTGTCGATAATTAGAAGTGGCAAGATGAAAATATTTTGTTTGAAGTAAAAATAATATTTGGATGACAAGGCATGCTTATAGAATATACATCCATTGATTTGTAAATGATCTTTATTTACATATCATAATTTTGTATACTTTTAACCAAAGAAATATCTGACAAAAATGAATTTTTTAGATCCACTATCAAATTGTGTTTATAATGGAAAGACTGTAAGTAAAACTGAGACAATTGAAAACCTTAAGGTGAGAGTAAGGGTCTGTTTGGGGTAACTGCAGCTTATCCAACTTATGCTGATAAACAACTTATCCTGATAATCTGTTGATGACCAGCTGATCCGGATAAGCTGACTAGTTGTTTGGTTTATGCGTTTTGAAAACAGCTGAATTGCAGCTGTTTCTGGATAAATGATCATTCTGCCCCTGTGCAATAATATTATTTACAAAAGAAGTGTCATAACAATATATTTGTAAAAAAAAAGACTTCAATACAGTAAAAAAAATAAGATAAATACCTAAAAATAGTTATAAAATAATAATGAATGGTATCAAAAATATTATAAAATGATTTTATATATTTTTCCTGATTATTAGACATTGTTTATTATAAAATGATAAGAAGTAATATAAAAAATATGAATAAATTCAATCAAAATCCTATGTCACAATCTTCCTCTTCGATCCTTCCCTGTTCGAGATTGCTTCGCCGCAATAGCGTCCCACGATCTTCTTCTTCGCTCCAAGCCTCGTTGCGCTACCTCTCACGATCTCTGTGTTCGCTCAACATCGTGTCTCCCTGCCGATGTTCGCTGCCATACTGATGTCGCACCTCTCTGCCGCAACCCACGCTCGCAAACGAAGGAAGAGAAGGAGTGTCGAAGAAGCCGGCCGTGCGATCTCGATCGCAAATGAAGGAGAAGGCCGTGGGTTCGATCGAGGGGCAGTGGAGTTATTTTGTGACTAAACGCGACGAGGAACGCTGCTTGCAGGGTCATCCCCGCGGACAACGTTCTTCATAAAATAAAAACAGAGTTTTTTAAAACGTGACTAAAACACAGAAAACAAACAGTAAGACAACGTTTTGAAAATGCCCCCCGCTATTTTAAGCTGCCCCAAAAGGGCCGTAAGAGGGTTGTGTTCCAAAAAGCATCTCTCGTGATGCTTTTCTCTGCATTCTCCCTAGAAAGATAAATGATGATTGTTTTGCAGGTGATGTTAGAATATGATGTGCTTTTACTCAATCATGTCTTTTTCTCATGGAGTGGTATTACAACCGCACGAACGAAGAACTCTAAAATTTGAAGAAATATTTACAATTTTAAGAGAAATTTAGCAAATACTTTAATGACAAAAAAAAAAAAAAAGATGGGAGTTCTATGTGAAAGCCAAGGATGTATAATTAATTGGCTTTTAATTACATTGTGTGGAGACAAATGTGAAGAATGATTAAGTTATGGATTTATAATCATCAGAAAATCCCAAGTGATACGGACTGAAGTCATCAACAACTAATGATTAAGTAGTAATGTGCACTAAAAGGAGCCAGAAAAGAATTAGCCAGCTTTTATATTTCAAAAATACTAAAATTGCTAGGGAGATTGAAGCCACCCCAGAAAAGAATTAGCCAGCTTTTATATTTCAAAAAAGAAAAAAAGGAGAAATAGTTTTATATAACTAGAAGAAAAAGAAGATTTGATATGCCATCCTAAAGAGCAAATATCAGATAAAGTTAGAGATGACAACATCAGGATACAAAGCAAAAATGGGATCAATTCTACTTTGTTTAAGAATGACTAAGATATTCTTCTGTTTTTTTTCGTTACAGATGTCGGTAATTGAAAAAAAATATTACGTCAAGAGTCTGGACGTAAGTTGCATCTGGACAATGACTACGATCCATCGAGAGGAGCGGAGGAGGAAAAAAAACGATCTCTGGTGGATCGTAGCGGCCAGACGCAACTTACGTCCGATTTTCTGACGTAATATTTATTCTAGTAATTCTGGCTAATTGCATTTGATTTGGGCTCTTTCACCACAATTAGGTCGTGAGATTGGGCTAAGGATG